CTCCCGCCCCTGCGGGACCCGGACTCGGTGCCCGCTGCTCTTTCGCATCTTTCCTTCTCCACTTACATAACTGGTTTGTTTTGGGGGTTGTGTTTTGGTTTTTTTGGTTTTTTTTCCTCCTCTCCCTCCTTTTTCCCGGCATTGCCGTTGGCTGCGGGAATGTTTGGGATACTTTGGTTCTCCAGGTGGATTCCTGAGCTGGAAGCTCAGCTCTGCTCGGGTGGGAGGGATGTTTGCTGTTGCTTTTCCAGCTTTGTGCGTTTCTCGAATTTTACCTTTGCTGCTGCTCCTCTCTCTCGAGGCTGAAGAGGTGGAGATCGGTATTTGGAGCTCTCAGTACCTCGGAGTTACTCACTGAGCCTTGCGTGCTCCGGGAGAGGTAGGCAGCAGCACAGGGCTGTTTTCTAAGTGAGGCCACGCAGACTTTTTTAATAAACGTCTCAGTGCCCTCACGCTCACTTTTTGTGAGCACTTTTGAAGAGCAGCACAAAGTTGGCTGCAGCGCACAGGGTTAAATGAAATAGTTTTGAAAACGGCTGCAACGCGGGAGGTTTCTGGAGGGGGGTTGGTTGCGGCAAGAGGTTAGTCTGAGTCAAGTGGCTGAAACTTTGTTGTAAGGTAGATAAGCTGGTGTGGGTGCCCCAGGACGCAGGGAGGTGACAGCTGACCTCTGTGGGCACCGGCCTCAGTGCCTGGGACTAAGCCCCCAAGCAGCCCCAATGCCAGGGGGCTCATCAGCTGAACGAACCGTGGGCCTCAGGGGAACAATGATGGAGGGGCAAACCCCCCAGCCTGGGCGTGGGGATCTCAGCATCCCCTCATCCCAGACGTTAAGCCAGCACTGGAGCATCGCCTCTCCAGCTGCCCTGAATAACACTGCACCCTGGGGAGGGCTGGAGCACAGGGAGCCCACGGCAGGGTCTATGCCTTGTGGGCAGCGGCAGCTTCCAGCTTTATGGTGGGTGGGCTGAGCAACACTGTGCCGTGGGACACCCCTTCTGTTTTTGCCACCCCCCTCTCCCCCCGGCAGGACCTCTCTTCCTGCTATTGCCTTCTCTCCCCTGTGGTTTCCATCCTCAAAACAGTGACCTCAATTGCTCAAAGGAAGCGTCACCCGCTATTATATAAATGGCTGAGGGTGAGTGCTTTGGGAAGGGAGATGGCGTGCCTGAGCCGTGGCTGGAGGAAACAGAGCTGGTTCCGATCCGGCCCAGATCAGCACAAGGGGGAGTTGTGGGGTGATCTGGCAATGGCCTTGCAGCTGGCATGGCTCGTGGTCTCCCTGCCCTTCTGCACGCGTGCTCCTCCCCAGGCATTGGAGCAGCCTGCCAGATGCATGGCCCTGAACCAAGAGGGATTTTCTTGCCACCCAATTTGGGCAGCCCAAGCACAACAGGAGAGCATGGGCTGGGAGGTGTGAACCACTACTGCGGGACCCCGTGCCCTCTCTGGGGTACCCAAGCTGGCCAGGACGTGGTCTTGATCCTGTTCTCCAGAGTATGGTTGTGCTGCTGAATTACACCCAGCTCCTCGCTTGGGCCAGAGAGAGCTTATATACTGGTTAAAGTGTCTTAGGTCCCAGGACACTGAGCTTCCTGAGTAATTTGGAGGGTGAGGGTTTACCCCTGCACAGGAGGGGAAGGGCGCTGGGCAAGCTGATCCACTCCCATGGGCTGCAGAGGACTTTGGCTAAACCTCCCCAGCTCCATCCCTTGGGTGCTGCCACCAGGAAGGGAGAGATGCTGTGGTGTCCCGAGCCCCATGTGCTGCCCTCGGGGAAGGGATGGGGAAGGAGCTGTGCCCTTGTCCCACTCCTTGGCCACCCTCTGGCAGCACCCTTGGGAGGTTTCCTCCGCAGGTTCTTCCCTCTCTGTTTAACATGAGGACGAGCCAAGTCCCGCCAGGACTAAATATAGTCAAAGTATTCGTTCTTCGGCATGGATACAAAAGCTGTCGTGATGGAGCCGGGAGGTAAATGGCTTTTGAGGGTTGACTCTGCTTTTTCCTTCCACAGGTCCTGGGCTGCTGTGCCGGGGCTCAGCCGTGCGCAGGGCTCCCCAGCGTGGCTGCAGTGCCGTCGCCAAGAGGAATGCTGAACTGAAGGGGCTAATGAGCACCAGAGAGGGAGGATCTATAACTTCCAGATGGTGACGAGTCCGTAATCCCTTTGGGAAGAATTAGGGACTCATCAGCACAGCAGAGCCTGGTGAGGGGAGCAAAGCACCGGCTTTGGGAGTGCTGCAAGAGGCCAAAGGCATCCCGATGCCGACTGTGCCGGCCGCCCTGCCCTGAGCTGCCTAGCTTTGTCTTGTGGAGCCCTGGTGCTGCCGGGAGCCCGTCCCCGAGCACTGAACTATTTCTCGTTTTAATTGATCGCATGTTCTCCAACCAAACCCCATCTGGGTCCTGCTCTTCCCGACGTAGAAAGGGACTTCTGCCCTTAACAGAAACACTTCTCTCTTCTGGTTTTTATGTCCCCTGGGATCGTAAAGCATCTTTCTTGCTGGATTTCCTCTCCCATCAAAGTGTGTTTTGAGGAATTACGGACTTATTCCCATGGCTTTATAAACTGCCAGGATCTGAGGGTCTCTGCCTTCACATCGCCACCGCTCCCACCGGTCTGCGATGGGGCGAGAGCAGGAGCTGATCCAGGCCGTGAAGAACGGGGACATACCCAGTGTGCAGAAACTGGTGGCCAAGATCAAGGCGTCCAAGAGCAGTGAGTACCTGGGCGCAGAGCCACAGGCTCCCTCTCCCCAGCTGGGCACTGCTGCCTGTCCTGGGGTGCGAGTCCTGGCAGCAGGCTTGGTGCCATTCTGAGCTGGGGTGCAAGTCCTGGCTCTGAACCCTAGCGCACGAGTTACGCTGCAGCCAGAGGCGGGAGCGCAAGCGCAGCCCATGCAGATGAATGACCGGGCTGTAAGCGATCCTCCCGGCAGGGCTGGGGTTCCCCTTGGGCTCAGGGCCAGGGACCCTGAAGCGTGGGCCACCGAGCAGGGATGGGTGAAGGGAAACAGCAGTGGTGGGGGGGAAGCGAAGCTGCTTATCCGGGGGGATGCGGCTACAGAGGGTCTTCAGTGATTGCCACTTACTCCCGACCGTATTTATCTTGTGAAAAATTATCATCCTAGCCAGTCGACTGGAACCAATCGTCAAGCCTTGAATTTCAGTCTGGTAATGTTTAACCCTTCAGCAGGGCTGTTTTCTTGCATGTGCTCTAGGAAAGGTCAGTGGCAAGCATGGCTTGGAGCAAGCGTTGGGCTCACGGGGGTCCCCAAGGGATCGGGGTCCTGCAGGCACGACACAACATCTGGAGGAGATGGGGAGGGCAGAAGGGTGGAGGAGCAGGTGCCGTGGTAGCCTTGTAGAGAGCTGAGCTCCTGGTTGCTTCTTGTGACCTACCAAGAGGGAGAAACTGGGAAAAGTAAATAAAAGGGCTCTTGGTGCGACGTATGGCCAGGGGAGAGCGCACAGTGCCTGCCTGGGCTGCGGGAGCCGCTCTGGGCTGGGGGGTGCGGGGCTCCCTGCCAGGGCTGCCTGTGGTGAGGCATCTTGTGGATGTGTGTGTGTGGGAAAGCTGGAGGGGAAGGAACTATCCTGGGGAGGGAGAGGGGAAACTTGGGCAGGAGAAGCAGCTTTAAGGCTGCTTAGGGGCAGCTCAGGATGGAGAGGCCAGCCCTGAGAAACGTGAGTTAGGCTGAGGATTATAAATGTGAGAAGGGGATCAACTCCCCTGGGTCAGCTACTGGAAAGCTTTGATTGGGGCCAAAACTTTGCAAAACCCAACTGCTGGGCCTGCAGGAGGGCTGGGGGCCACCTCCTCCCCAGAACAGGGGGTACCTGGTGCCCCCTCCCTGGGTGAAGGGACTGGGTGCCATTGCCTCTGCTTGCAGCTCAGGGACAGGCCCCTGAGCTGGAGCAAGAGAGGTTTGCCTCTGCAGGCAAGTTGAAGGACACCTGCAAGGCAATAAATAACGTCAGAATGTGAGCGTCCCGCTGGCTGACACAGCCCTGTTCCCCCGAGCTGGTGTCCCATGGCCGGGCAGTGTGGGCAGGCTGGGGTGCCTGTGGCTCTCCTCCTCCTGCACACCCGGAGGGGTGAAGTTACACTTGTTTTCTCTGGTTCCCTCCAGTAATCGTCTCCCAGTTCAACCCCGTCTGCATTTTCTCTCTGGCGTCCTCCCCTCCCTCCAGCCATGGGGCACCCACGTGAATGTGTGTGTTTAACTCCCCCGCTGCAGCGGCGTCAGCAGCTCCCTCTGCTTATTTTTATTTTATTCCTTTGGGGAGGAGGGGTGTCAAGAGCAAAAAGCACAGACCCCTCCAAGGCCACCACTGCAAGCCCTCGGTGGGGCTCCTGTGCTGGACCTGCTGTGGGGGCTTGTCTGGTCCCAGGGGCTCATCCCTGGCATGGAGGGCATCACTGCTCCCCATCCCTTATGGTTCCCTCTCCCTCCTCTTGCCAATGCCATGTGAGCCGAGCATTTGCTGCTCATTAAAGCGCCTTTTCCATATGACAGGCTGAGATGCTGATTATTATTATTTTTTTTTTTTTAAAAAAAAATCCCTCTAAGAGTCCTTCTGCTGTCTCAGTGGATTGGGAGCTTGGTCGTTGTGATCAGCCCTCTGGGGCTTCCTGTGCCTAAAAAAGTCACCGCACATAAGCAAAAATCAAGCGCCAGTCCCAGCAGTGGGAACTTCAGGGACACATTTAATATTCACCGTGCGCAGCCCTCCTCCCTGCGCAAGCGCTGCTGTACAAGTGGGTCACAGCACCTATTATTATAAGGTGGTGGGGCAGGCAGGGAGAAAGTTTTGGGGGCAGGAGCAGGAGGGGAAGGGCAGGCATCCCACCTGTGGGAAGGGGGTGTTGGGACGATGCCCTGGTCACTTCTGCAGTTGGAACAGGGGGATCTCCCCCAGGAGAGGCAGGGGGG